AACCCAACCTGCAAGCTTTGTATCGCGTTAGAGCATACAAGCTATATTCGTACTCTAGAATTGCCTGCGACGCTTGAGATTACCCTGATATCCATAAAGATTAGCAGGACATATATCAGGCACAAAAGCAGTATGATCGGCTCCATTATAATGTAGGTTTCTCTGCCAATGGAGCCCTGAAGCTGTGGGTGGCGATGGAATCTCGGGTACTTCATTGTATGAAATCTCCGGCACTTGGCCCAAGCATTCGTCAAAATCAACATTTCGATCGGCAGGGAATGGTGGTGAGCCCTGAGAACTCCCAAGCTTGCCACTGTCCGCCTGTCAAATGATAATTTATTAGCAACAAAAACTAATTGCAGAGGTAAATTGCAAGAAATATCCCTTCATATATGCCATGTTTAAGTTTTACAAACAGTCCCATCATCTATTGACTATTAAGGAGACCGTTAAGTTTGTAATGTGTTTTGTTGTTTCAATGTCTGAATAGACGTTTGTACTTGGGTAGACGTCTGCACTATAAAATTTACAAACTTTGGAAAGGAATAACGTAGAGAATTTTTTTTTAAAGTTTTGGATAGAATACAAATCTAATTCTGTTGATTGTTCAGTGTCACCTAAAATTCTGCATGCGGATATTTGCCCAGATGTCCGAAGGAACAAACACCATGATTTCATTAATGATCACAGATGAGGGGCCATTTAGTTGAATCTTTTAGACGAGGGTTTTCTTGAAAAAATAGGGTATCAATAAAGGGGGTCCCTTATAATATATTCTTATCGCAATGTCTATTATATGCTGGGAAATTACTCACCTTAGATGAACCGTTCTCCGGGATACCATAGCTCTGGTTGAACTCGGAAAATCTAAATAAGTCGTCCACAGACCAATCCAGCAAACTTCCAACCATGTTAACTCCAGAATATGATGCCTTCGATGGACCGAGATACTCATCTTTGCTTGTTTGGGTGGAAAATGCTTGATTAGCTTGAGCAGAAAATTGCACAGAGGGATTTCCATTGGGTAGTGATCTACAAGGTGGCTCAGGGGCTCTTCCTGCAGAGCTTGATGGTTCCTTTACAGAGGATGGGAGTGATTCAGTGGGTTCAAGGCCCACTTGAACTCCTGTCACCAGAAATCTTCGGTGGGCAGAAACAAGAGAATTTGCCGTATGTATGAAGACATCGCAGTTCCTACATAGCAATGCTCGATCTTCTAAGCAGAAGAAGTAGCCAGAAGCTTCCTGAAAGAAGGGAGAAAAAAACATTTCAGAGAACGTAAGACCTAACTTACACTTGTTAAATTGCATGAAAAAATTCCAGTCAGAGGAGCTCTTCACCGTCAATCCTTGACAATCGAATGAGCGAAAATTTATAGTAACACCGGGCGCGAGTGTCTCATTAGTTATACACCCCATTTGGCAAAGGGTTAAGGAAGAGGGGTTAAAAAGAAGAATTAATGTACTTAGTCCATTCGATAATCTGAAAGACTAAATTATTAACCCGTTAAATAAGTTTTATTTTAATCATTATGATCAGTTTTAGTGTTTGGGAATAACAATGATTTTAACTATTTTCTTTATAATTAGAAAGGTTAACTCTTAATCATTCTCTTAATCATTCTAAATAGGAGTATTAGTAAACCCCTCATTTTGAGGAGTTAACTCATTTCAATCCCTCTAGAGGGTTAGCTTAACCCTTCTATATTTTTTATGTTTGACAAATTATAGATGGTTATCTCACTTTATCCCTTGTATAGACTTTTTGTGTTTGGTGGTTTAAGAAGGGGTCAAGTCTCCTTTAACCCCTCACTTAACCCTTTGCCAAACGGTACCTTAGGAGTGCCAAATTTGACGGGACAAAAATGAGTGAATGAAGGATAAACTAAAACTGCAGTACCTCCACAAATCTATCTGCATCTAACATACTAATAATTGAGGCATCCTCCGCCGCCACAATACCTCTTCAAAGTGATGGAAAAGACCCGACGGTTACAATTCGATTTGTTGCAAAATTTACCAAATTGTTCCTCCATCGCAATGCTTATTTTAAATACATATCCAATGGGATCCAAATCTAGATTAGCAAACATTAAGACACATCTATGAATTGGTCAAAAAAGTGATCTTTAGCAGAGGTTAGGGTTCTAGGACTAAAATCGCTGCCAACAATTCCCACTTACATCAGCTTCGAGGTTATGGGCTAGGGTTGACGATCAAATCTGGGACCGTAAACAACACAAAATTCTAGCTTTTGACGCCGACTTCGACCAGAAGCCTAGAACTGAGCCAGTACGTACCTGGCAAATATCGCACTTTGGGACTCGCGGCGGCGACGCAGCGGAGATCAAGGGGACCCGCTGGTGTTTTCCGGCGAGCTTGTTGGCGGCGTGCACTTTCTCGTCGCAGTCCTAGAGCGCCGCCTCGTCGGCGCAGCACATCACCGCCGCCTCCGCCGCCTCGCAAGCGTTGCACTGTATCTTCATCCTCAGAAAAAAGAAAAATTTACCCCCAAAAATTTCTTCTCGATCCCAAATTAGGGTTTTGAGTCGGTGGTGGCTGGGGATATTTTATGGGTGCAAGTGGTGGTCTGAATCCTGTCAGTTGCGTATTATTTAATTCCTCCGAACGAACGGTAAGTTGGACTCCCGCCACAACTTACTGCTTGATTTTTATTATTTATTTATTTTTATCTTTATTTCTTTCAAATTCATGCGAGTTATAGCTGCAAGTTCAGTTAACCCCCTGTACTTCGGTTGGGTTTGCACATAGCCCCCTGAGCTTTGTTCATTCCCTTACCTCCAGGTGGCCTATGAATTTTGACGGGTCACGAACCAACCACACGACAGAAAGCACGGAAATACTCCTAGGCCACGTTTGGAAAGGTCAAGGAAGAAGGGTTAAAGAAAAGTATTAATACACTTAACTTATTCGATAATCTGAAAGACTAAATTATTAACCCGTTAAATAAGATTTATTTTAGTCATTGCGTTCAGTTTTAATGTTTGGGAATATCAATAATTTTAATTATTTTTTTTATAATTAGAAGAGTTAACTCTTAATCCTTTCATCATTAAACATGTAACGGCGACGTCGGGTGGCGTGTTGGAGAAACTTCGAAGTACACTGGATTAAGCGAGAGACGCTCCAAAGCTCGGGACGAGAGAGATCTTAGAGGGGGTCATGTGTAAAAACTCTCCCGAGTGCGGGGGGCTTAAATGAAACTAACCAAGTACGATGGCAGCGTCAGTCGCAAAATAACTGAGATATTTTTTTTGGATTTATCGCAATTATTTATTTCAATGAGACCAATCATGTGGATTAAAAAAAGGAGAGAAAACTCTTATCTTCTTATTAAACGAGATAAAAAAGGGTTTTTTCACGAATTTTGTGCAATACATCTGATGTGGATGTTCGACTTGTGCAATGCGCAGTCTGTACTTGAAGGGGCACGCTGGGGACAAAGAGCCTCGTAGCTTTCAAGAGCAGATGCAGATCAATTACTTTCGAACTTGGAATAGTACGATATACATAGACAAAAGCCAATAGGACCGCACCTAGATTTATGTATACAAGTAAAAAAACTTAACTCCGTTCTCGTACGATATATATACTGTAGAGGCAGTATGTAATTTTGTAAATTTATTAAAATAAATAAAAACCACCAAGCTTACCTCTTATTTTGGGGCTTTCTGGATTAGAATTGCAATTTTGTATGTTGAGTATCAAAGATTAAACAAATATGAAAGATGAGTTGAATGAGAAGAGAATAAAGGAAGTCATCAAGAGAAAAAACCGCATAAAGTATGCATAAACGAGAATGGGTATTTAATATGTGTTTTTCTCTTTTTTTTACTGTTACAATCTAATTAATTATGGAAATAAAATATAAAAAGTTACAATTAAACTGTATTAGTGTTCTTTTCCAAAGATAAAGATAACTATAGCAATAAATGATCAATTAAAGATAAATTAGAATCCTAACAATAGTCAACTTCTTATATTTCCAAAATAAATTAAAACATATATATATATATATATATATTATTTTATTTTTTGGGCCAAATAAAATGAGGGCCCTGGGCATATGCCTTCAGTCGGCCCTGGTTGATGCATCAAGAAACTTAGAAGCTTATGCCAGTATTAATATCAAAGGTAGAGGTGTTAAACCGTATCTATATCCGAGGAAATATAATAGCTATTAGGAACATACACGAATATGGTTGCTCAAAATTATAACCGATAAGATATGGTTACAGATATAGTTTTGTAGTGAAATATCTGAATCCGTATCCAAATATCCGGATACATATTAGTCATACTGTTATGATAGTTTTAATCCTGAGATTATAGATTTGAAGTTAATTTTGATGATTACAAAACATCTGAAAACCTCCCTTAAATTTGATGTCATTAAAAAAGACTCTTTAACTTTATGATTTTGCCAGGAAACCCCTCTAAACTGCGAATTTCATATTGGGTGGGTGAACTAGTGCAAGGGGACATTTTTGCCTGTAAAAAATTGGGATTCACGCTTTAAAGGGGGGCTTTCTGTAAGAATCTTAAATTTAAAGGGGCTTTTCTAATAATCCCTCGGGCTTTATCTGATAATTGTCGAAGTTAAGAGTGGTTTTTTTCTTTTCTTTTTGTGTGTGTGTGTGTGTTAGCTTTAACAATATCATATTGCTCAAAATTCATTTCGAGCATTGCATCAAAAGTTTTTTGAGTCGAAAGTTTAGCTCAAAGATTGGTGAATTTCAATGATCACCAACCAAGCGTTAGTTTGAGATCTCACCATAAACCAGAAGTCAGCTGGGTTCAACAACAACATGATGGCCGCCACGGTCCCCTCATGATGAGGCAATGGACTTTATTATTGAAAAGCCATTTTCTGTCGTCGGCAGCAAATCTTTTCTACTGTGACGATTGAATTGCTCGACCGAGACCGTCATTCAAAGAACCCACGCTTCTGAATTCTGAACCACAAATCTCTTCCGTGGATCTTTTTCATTAGATTCTGAGAGACAAAACATTTAAACAATACATCATCCCTGACATCAATATCAAAGCAGATTATGTCACCGCCAATCTACAACCTTCTCCAGTACTGGGGCCCACCGTCGAACTCGAACGAACAACGCCATATCACAAGTCCAATGCATATTTACATTATGCTTCGATGACTGATGCATGATTTACATCTACTTCTACCCCGCGAGATTCATCGAAACATTTTCGACGCTATCTTAACAAACTTTGAGACAAGTAGACTTTCAAGCTGGGAGCCTTTGTTGATATTTCAATAACGTCTCCGTGCTGAATCGAATATGACACGTGCGAACCATCGACATACATGGCTCCTTCTTTACTGTACCATGCGACGTGTACGCTCTCGTCATGTTTAACTAAGCCATGCATCCATGGGATGTCCATCGCTTTTGGAGAAATGGGCTCTCTTACCATGTATTGAAGCTCACGACTTGAAATAGGCACGGGGAATCCACCAGCCGAAAGCATTGCAGCTGTGGATCCTGCTGGAGTGCAGGTTCTCAGGCCACTTGATCGACAGTTGATTAAAGAATGATTCTGGTTCTTGGTATTCATTCTGAGAAATGAGACAGATGCTGTCAGAACAATGGCAAATTACAAGAAACCCCCTTACCTGTATCCAAATTTTCAGAAAAAACTCCCTGATACATGATCATCAATGAAACTATTAGTTTTGTAATGGAGATTGGTTCTTAGAAGTCCGGGCATACGTCAGCATGTGGAATTCTGAAGATTTTAGGCTAGTCTTTAGAAAAAAAATTGACTTCAACTAAGAACTAGCTTTTTTCCGCAGACTGATGATAAAAAGAATTAGATTTTGACTTTAGACAAGAACTAATTTCTTTTCTTCATTTTCATCCTTTCAGATTCCAAATTTTATGAATTCTGAGGTCCAGAAGTACATCCAAACATCTATTCAAAGTGAAACCATCTGTCCAGACATACGACGGGAAAAAAAAAACTTTATAGAATGAATTGTTTACCTGGTAATTATTACCCTAGAACTGTTAGTGGGGGGAACATTTCTGTGTTTGGTATAACATGTCATAAGATTTAAAATTTAACACAAAAGGATCTCTACCACTCTCAACTCAAAATGCACAAAAAGTTCACTCAAAATATTAAACTTACAAACAACCACCTCAAAATCTGACAATTAAAAAAAGCATCATGCACAATTCAAAACTTGCAGAAAACATTCAGAAGTTTTTTAAAAATGTAGAAAACAACTTAAAAATTCAAAAATTACAAAAACACCCTAATAATTTCAAACCTGTAAAATGGTACATTGACAATATTACAAACATCCCCTGAAAGTTTTGGAGTTTGCAAAAAAAAAACGTGGAAGTTTCAAAAATTGCAAAAAACACCATCAAAGATTCAAAATTTACAGAAAAAACCCTGAAAAGATCAAAACTTACAAAAAAAGTATGTAATTTTCGATTTTTGAGGGTGTTCATGGCAATTTGCTAAACTTATAGGGTGTTTTTTGCAATTTTCTAACCTTTTCATGGTGTTTTTTCAATTTGTTTAACCTTTCAAGGTGTTTTTTTTTGCAAATTTCATATATATAAAATTTAAGTTTCCTGTTTGTATCTTTGAAATTTTCAAAGGTGTTTTTTGTAAATTTTTAATTTTTGAGGGTGCTTATTGCAATCTTTGAAATTTCTAGGGTGTCTTTTGCAAAGTACAAACTTTCAGTGAGTTGTTTGTAATTCATATTGTCAGTATACGATTTATGGTTTTGAATTTTCCAAGTTGTTCTAGTAAATTTTGAAGCATGAGGGTGTCTTTTGCAATTTTTCAAAACTTCAACGCTGTTTTTTGCAAATTCCAAAAATTTTAGCAATCTGTTTGTAATTCCTATATTTTCAGTGTACTGTTTGTAGGATTGAAATTCTTAGGGTGTTTTTTGTAAAATTTAAGGGTGTTTTTGCAATTTAGAAAACTTTAGGGTGTTTTTTGTGAATTACAAATTTTTAGGGGGCTGTTTAGAGTTCCTAGAATTTCAATATACTGTTTGTACGTTTTGAAAATTTCAGTTTTTTGTAGACTTCAAAAATTTTAAGGTGTTTTCCGCAATTTTTAAACTTTCAGAGTGTTTTTTGCAAATTTTTAGTTTGGTCAGGGCTATTTTGTTTCGAAAATTTAAGTTTTTTTTCTAAGTTTTGGATTTTTCAGATTATTTGTGAATTTTACCGAGTTTTACATTATTGAGGTTTGTTAAAAGTTTCAGAACTTTTTAGGAGGTTGGTTACAATTTATTTACTTTACTAGTGATCTTGTGAATTTTCAGGTTCCAGGAGGTTCGTTAAAAGTTTTAGAACTTTTTTTTTTTTTTTTGGGGGGGGGGGGNTCAACTGTACCCCATTTTCTCCTACCCCTAACTTGGTTAAAACTTTACCCTCATATCGGGCTAAAATTTAACATTGGTAAAGTTCTAGAAGGGTAACAAACACGGTAAAGATGGGATAATATTTAACAGGGTATTCTTCACCCCCTTTAGTTATGTACCAAACAAGCCCTAACAGTCATTAATGAGGTGGTCTTTGTTGAAGATTTCTTTAAAAGAGTATATATGAAGGGTGCTTCTTGTAATTTTTCCTAAGAATGTCAACTTTATTTATATAAGAAGAATCGAAAGACATACCGAAATGAGAACCGAGATACTGTTGCTGGACAGGGATGAGCAACGAGAATATCGTTCAGAGCATATGTTGATAATAGCTGATCATTTAATTTTATCGATATCCTTGAGAGGTCAGAGGGGCTTCTGTGACCTTCAAGAATTTCATCCAAGACCTGTAAAAAGTTTACAGCATTAGATGATATGTAATTTAGAAAGTGGTGATTTCTAAAATTAGGTTATATAGCCACTCAAACCGAACTATCAAACCGATATTTTTCTAGCTTATGGTGTTACCTGCTCAAAGTTACTAGCAGTTGCAGCACAGAGATAACCTGTGCTTCTTGTTGCATCAAAGTCGTCATTGAACTGATCAACCTGCAGAGTGGAAAAAAAAGAAACTTTAACCATCAGGCAAAATTTTTTATTCAAAATCAAAGAATGGTTTCCGAAAAAAATGAGTGTATCAAGAATGAGAACGTTACAATGGACATGCACGTGTACGCTAAAATATAGGATAACCAATGTGTGTGCCTTCATAGGAAGCTACGAGTTACTCCCATTGAGGATAAAAAGAGAGAATCGATTTAGATATTAGGTCATGTACAATGAAGAAGACCACTAAAGCACCTCTTAGGAGAAGTGAGATTATAGTTAATGGGACGTAGATAAAGGATTATGCAAAACATGCAAGGCAAAAACATTGGGGAATATATATTGCGAAACTTATCCCAAGAACTCTTGTACATTCATATTTTATCGTAGCACCTCTTCTGGTTGTGTAGGGTCAGAATTAACTCCTAAAACCGGAACAGTGTCATCTATGAAGTGGCTAGCGCGCAAAAGAGTTCCATCTCCACCGACTGTGATGACAAGATCAAAATGGCGAATTGGTTGGAATAAGTTGTTGCGCAGGATTGGCTCCCAATCGAGATGTTTGCGTTGCAGAACATCCTGACAGAAATCGATGGTGTCCTTGTGAACCCTACATCTGTCATTCAAATACCGTAAAACCTGAAAATGAAACTTCAGGAGTAAGTTTCCAGAAGAGGTTGAGCTTTGGAAAAAAAAAATCATTCTTAGATGCACGAAATTTTAACGCTGTCAATGTTTATGTTTTTGACTTGCTAGTTTTTGCCACTGTCCAGGGTGGTAATTAAGATCAGGAGATAAATGATGGCAGAAATAGAAAAGAATGGGAGATGCTCTCAAGTCTGAGACAAATGCATAATCGTCTTTAACATTCATTTTTGATCTAGGAGAATGCTAAGGGTTTGCTTTATTTCATAAATAAAGTTTTTTTTTAAAGAGCCAACCTTACTAACTAGCCTGCTGGGTTACGTATCAAGCCTCTCCATTGTCCAAGCTGTCAAGAATTTGGCACCAAAATGCTCAGATACAGATAACAAGCTTCAAAATCACCTCTCCTACTGCTTGTGGTGTGTGGCTAACACATGTACTCCCTTCTTATTCAACTAAACATCTGATTGTAACTTTTATTGTCTAAATCAACAACAAAAATTAAATAAATAACTAATACTTGGAAAGTACAAATTGAGAAAGCTACATATGCCATTTCCCATCTTTCCACATCGTATCGGTAAATTAAGATATACTGAAAGGCAATGACAATTTGATCTCTAAGGAGTTCAAGCTCATCAAGCCACAAAATGCAGTGGTCTGATGGGGTTTATCTCGCATTTGGCTCAAAAATTGCAAGTTAGAAAAGCAAATGAAGTCAAGGTTCAGTCACATGAGCCAAATTGATCTGTTTCTTTTTCATTTCACCCTTTCAAAAGCTACACCTTCTAAGCCATCCTTGCTTTATATGCCTTATTAGTACGATTCAAAGATAAATATAGACGAAACTTTAGTAGAGGTCTTTGATGTATTTACCAGATATCATTTGGGTCCTTAATGTTTGGATCCTTCATGTTACTTTGGTCATCAACCTAGGTACTTTTCAAATGCTGTTAAATCTTGCTGATGTGATTGCAAAAACTTATAATTTCACTATTTTTTGCTGATGAGGCAAGAAAAGCTTAAAGTTTCACTATATTTTTGCTGACATGGCAACTATGTTGCTTAGGTACGAGTACGCATACGAGACACAGCAAATTTGTAAAAAGTAGGGTACAGGAACACGGCGGTATATATATAACATAATTCACTTTAGATCAATATTGAATTAAATATCTATTACATTTTCATATTTTTTGTTATGTAAAGTGGAGATTATAAATAAGAAACTAAAGGAAAGTGCATGTTGCAGGTGTGAATTAAGACCTCGAGATGGCAATGATCTCTTGGAGAATTGAAGACAATAATGTTAAAGAAGACAAGAAAGAGAAGATGAACATATAGAAAAATAGATCAATTTGTATGTTATATACTTATATTATTATGTAACATTGGCTTGTATAATCAGATACAAATGTAAGTTATGTAACTGATTTGAAGATAATACCAAATTCTAAATTTCATAACTTTCATCTTGAGCAAACAAAAATACAAGCCTACCTCGCAAAACGAGTTAAAAATTACAAGCATACATTCACAAGTTAGAACTATACCCCATAATATTACAAGCATAACTCAAAATATTACAACTTTACAAGTATAATGTTTAAAGTTGTAAATATACCTCCAAAAGTTAAGATCTATATCCCAAAAACTTACAACTCACTACCATATTCCAAAAGTTAAAACTATATTCTTTGCACCGGTTAGAAGATAATCAACATTCGACATTTTCATACTCATTAAATACAATGGTCTCAAGCTCCGGCTCATCAAGAGAAAGGTTTGCAACTTCTAAAATATCGGCACCATTGAATGATTCAAATTCATATCCTCCTATGTCCCACATCTTTGTCTCCCCTTTAGAGTATTCCAAGGATCTCCTAGAAAGAAGACGGAGATTTGTGTGAACATATATCATATCTTCCGCTCTTTGTGGAGTTATCTTATTCCTCTTAAGAGAACGAATCAATTTATAAGTGCTCCAATTTCTCTCACAACAAGAAGAGGAACAAGGATGCCCAATCAACTTTAATGTTAACTCTTGCAATTTTGGTGTAGATGTTCCATAGATATGTTAGTCTAAGGAATGTAGACTCAAAGCTGGAATCAAACAAATTGTTGGATAGCAGGTTTCCTAATCTGTTTTGGTAATATGATTCTTAATCTGTTTTGGTAACATGATTCTTAATCTGTTTTGATAACAAGTTATTAGGATTCCTAATCTGTTTTGGTAACAAGTTATTAGGATTTCTAATCTGTTTTGTTTTTGGTTTTAGAATTCCTAGTCTGTTTTGGTTTTAGGTTTTCTATATATATGGAACGCTTTAGAAGAGATTAGACATCAGAAAAAGAGGGTTTTGAGAGAATTATTCAGAGAGATCTCAGAGAGATTAGATTCTATTTGTGGGCATTGTAATCTTTTTTAATATTAATCAAAGAATCGTGTGGTGTGGCTCTCGGGGACGTAGGCACGATTGCCGAACCTCGTTAGGAAAATAACTCTTTAAGCATTTAGCTCTTTCATTGGAGATCTTAGGATCCATGTGTTGTGCAACTCGATTCAGAGCTTCAATAAGACAAGTCGCGCTATAATATCTACAAGATAGAAAAACATTCATAAATAATATCAACTATTATAGTCTAATCAATATAGATTAAAAGTTTATTTAAGGAAAAAAAATACTCACTTTGGGTTTAGTGAATGAGCTAAGCAATGCAATGGTGTATTGCTCTTATTTCACCGATCAACAAGGATAGTATGTACCACATTGTAAAATGATGAATATTCATCATCTCTCTTGCCTTCTTTTCTATAAATGCAATTCTTTACTTTTTCAATCATAGAATCCCACATATAGATTTGACTTATCGATGTCGACGGATTCGAACCATGTTATAGATTGGCTCGGTAAAAAAGATAATATATTCTATTTTATCCCACCAAATATCATCCAAATTTTTATTATTAACAAATTGAGCCCTCCCAACATTATCATCTTGATAAAGACTCCATTCTCACTAATGACCATGTCCATAAGACCACATTTGATCTTCTTGAATCGTCGGAACATGATAACAACCTAAGCAAAACGAGTTTCGGCTATAACAAGCATTTTTAACTTCACATGTTCATTGAACATTGACAATCTCATGAAATGATTCATTATGAAGTTTCTTATAACAACAACATTATCGCTAACTTCGGTGATCCAACTACATTCCTCATACACTACCTCATTTCTTTTAGTATTCTTCATCGCACAAATATTTTTTAAGGCAAGATTGAGTGTGTGGACAATACATGGAGTCCAAAAAATATGAGGATGTCTTCCTTGCACAATGTTTCTCGCGGATTTGCAAACCGGTGCATTATCGATTATGACTTGTACAACATTATAAGGACCAACATCTTCAATGACTTTCAAGAGAATATCGGCTATATAATCCATATTCTTAGTCCTCCCCTCCGCATTGACGGCATTCAAGAACATCGATACATCTTCGGTTACCGCCATCACATTAATGAGAGGCCTTCTTTGTGAGTCGGACCACCCATCGCTAACAATAGAATCACCATTTGCTTTCCATGTTAATTTTATGGGCCCTAATAACTTCTTGATATGTGCCCTATCTTTTTGTAAGAGGCTTGTTCTTAGAAGATTGTATCCGGGGGGATATAACCTCTAAGCGAATTGCTTGTGGCATATTTAAAAGCTTCGATGAAGTATGGATTTCTTGCCAAATTGAATGTTAAGCCCCCCGTGTAAAACATTCGGGCAAGGAGACCATGTAGGTGATCTCGGGCTCCACGATTAAAGGATTGTTCTATGGTGTTCCCCTCACTTAGCAACTTCTTTTGTGGTGGTTGTTCTTGATGTAAGTAATAGAACACTCTTGCCCTTCTCTGCCTTCAATCTAAGCTCCGCTAGCTCCAACACTTTCTTCATCTCAACAATATTTTCATTCTTCACATTTGCACAACACTTGATTCAAAATAATGGATGTCTTAAGAGATGTGCTTTTACTCTTGAATGAGAACTCTTAAAAGTTTTAAGACAATAATTGCATTGTCATTCCTAATTTCCACCACCTCTCGTTGCTTTTCCAAGTTTTGTGACATATCTCCAAAGAGGAGCATTATCATCCTCTAGCTCCCTTTGTGAACTTGGAGTCTCCATCTAACTCTCTACAATTCTTAACAAGAAAATACTTACATATAAGAAATAGAAAGCTATTTTTACTTTAATTAACAATTTAGAACTAATAAAATTACCTATATAAACAAATACAAGCATTAAAAATAATTTATAATTCAACCCCTATATTTGTTCAAGGAAAGTCAAACCAGCCCCAACTTCCATCGGAGGAAAAAGGAGAAAAAAGAGAAGTCGGACGCTAATCTTGTTGTCGAGGAAAAAGGAGAAAAAGGAGGGTGTTGTTCTTGTTGTCGAGGAAAAAGGAGAAAAGGAAAAAAACAAAAACAAAACCCTAAAAACCCTAAAATCAAACATTGCCATTGAGCAGAGGCGCTGATCTCGTCGTCGAGGAATTGTTTCGTCATCGAGGCGCTGAAATTGCTTCGTCGAGGCTCTGATTTCGTCGTCGAGAAGTTGATTTCACCGTCGAGGAGCAGGATTCGTCGTCGAGAAGGAGGATTCGTCGTCGAGGAGCTGTTTCATCGTCGAATACGGTCTGAAATTGCTTCCTCGAGGCTCTGATTTCGTCGTGAGCAGTTGATTTCATCGTCGAGGAGTTGTTTTGTCGTCGAATACGGTATGAATTGCTTCGTCGAGGCTCTAATTTCGTCGAGTATTCATCGTCGAGGAATGGGGTCGTCGCTTCAGTTGATGGGTTCGAAGGTGGTAAAGGCAGAATCGCTTCAGAGGACTGGGTATTTCAAATGGGCTTAGGTTATTGGGCTCAAATAGCGAACCCGATTGATCCTTCTTTTCAAAATTTTAGGTTCGTTTTCCCCCCCTCACGAGTGAATTCCCCGTGTCCCTGGCGTTTGGGTACGGATCTGTACCCAAAATGTACCCGACATGGGTACGGGACCATTTTGGATGTGTCGGGGTATCACAGCATGGCAAAGTCATGTCGCTACCGTGTTAACAAGATTTAATGAAAGTTTGTAAAAGGACCTAGGTTGATGACAGAGGTAATATTACGGACTCTTGTTGATGACTTCCAAACATTCAAGATCCAGAAGATATTTGGCGGATACATCAAGGACCTCTGCTGAACTTTTGCTATTTACCATAAATTTATTATGGCTAGTTTCATCAATGCATTAGGTTCCAATACTGATTTCCAAAGCTATGTCTTGATAACTAACCTTTTAAAATACGAGTGAACTTATGTGTTTTCAAAATCATTAAATGTACGTATAAATAAATGGATGATGGTAAAAAACTCAAGGGGCTTTGAACATTTTGATTCTAGAAACAAGAGAAACCCATAGTACTTTACATAATTAAACCAGAAATATTTATCAAATTCTCATAAAGGTCAATGACTCAACGGCTATTCCTGTGTTACGTTAAGCAGCAGCAGGTTATAACACAACTTCAGATTCATTAAGATAAATTTTAATGACAATGCTGATAGTCACACCTAATGTAATATATTTCAAGCAGCAGAATAAATGCCTCATGATATCTATTTATAAGCATATATATGAGAACATATTGTTAATATAGGAGGCATCCGGTCTATTTTACATGCATATACACATAACAAAATATCGAGGCATATTTTTTTTGTGTTTTTGGTCCGCTTAAAGTAGAATGGATGTAGTAAATGTATTAAAAGAATGAGGCCAAGATGGTAGATATAATGCCTAAAGCTTAGCAGGAAGCTTGGCTACTGCTTAGATGCGGAGGGGAAAAAATGAAAATGGAAAAAATTGGGGATTATACAACTTATTTGTGCCCAAGATCAATGTCAACGCTATATGCCATTTGGCTATTTAGCTTATTTTCCAGCTCAGAGGATGATGCAAGTAATTTTAGCAATCCCAGCAACTACCCTTTCTCTATAGAACTTTGTCTAGTCTCCAAAAAATAAATAAATAAATAAATAAATAAAAACTGAGAACTGCTCTTTTCTTACAATTTGCATGAGCTCAAATTGATGAAAATAAAATGTAGATCTACTTATATCTTTCTCTTCAGCCAGAATCCCAACTCGAAGGTGGATGCAAGTTATTTTGGCAATCTAATGATCTTACCCTTTTGTGTAGCCTACATCTTTTTTGCTCTAGGAATATTATTGTGGATTCCTACTTGCTTGCACTTCACATGAGCTTAAATTTATGACCACAAAAAGTAGAATTACTTACATTCGACTCTTTAGCTTTTCAAAACAAGGCTCTTTATCATTAATAATTATATCGGCAAAACAATTTGTTACTGAAAACACACTTTAACTAGATAGGTAGTACTAAACTTATGGTTAATTCTTATACCGCACATTTAGACATTAAGGACCACATCATATTTCAACATAATATGAACTCAAAACGGCTAAAGAAAAAGAGCATGCACCATCTCAATCGAAGCACCACTTTATACAATATAATTCTCGAAACAAGCAAGGTAACTATAATTCTAAAAATTCTCCATTTGTAGTACAAGTTCTTAAATTTCAGGTAAAAATGAACACTTATCAAGCCCAAGCTCAGCATGTGCAGGGTATAATTCAATGACCAGCTAAAACATAATCTCAAAGCCTCAATCTTTTTCTCGATAAGCAACGCGCTACATCAGCACTCAATCAAGCACACAATTCCAGCTGCACTTTTTCATCAAAACCCACAAATCCATCTTCAATTCCCAGGAGAAACAGAAGGGTCAGAAGATGAACTTGTCTCTAACAAACCCCTTTCCTATTTTCCCAAATCACCCTCCTTTGATTAATACAACAACCCAATTCTTCATTTTCCCTCAAAAAAAAGTTCTTTTTTTTTCAGTAGCAACAAAAATCTAGCAATTTCAATGCAAACACCAAATAAGTAAGTTGAAGATTTGTACCTGAGGATTGAGAGGGCGAGAGAGGGGAGAGGACGAGGGTTTGTTTCTTGGGGGGTAAACGTCGAAAGGCTTCAACAGTAGAAGCACCCTCCGCCTCGACATGGCAACTGGATTTTGAGGGCTCCAATCTTGGAGAAGAAAGCACTCGAGGGGCGTGGGTCGGGTGCAAGAGCGGATCCGAATCCGATAAGGTAGCTGTACTAGGCCACTAATTAGTATCCGTATCCGAGGAAATATCCGTAACCGTATTTGTTAGGATAAATGTATAACCGATAGGATATGATTACATATATGATTTTGTAGTAAAATATCCATATCCGTATCTAAAATATCCGAATATATATTAGTCATACTCTTATGATAGTTTCGATTCCTAGATTATGGATTTGTGATTAATTTTGATGATCAAGATGTCTAATCTTAACTTTCTAATTGTAATGAACATATTAGCAAACTCTTTTTGTATCACATGAACTATGTTTTTCTCCATACTATCTAGTTTATGTTTTTCTCCATACTATCTAGTTTTCTCATATCCGTTTTGTATTTGCGTGCATATCCGCATGTATATCCGTAACCGTATCCGATTTTAGCGGATATGGTTATGAATTTTTCTTACTGAGGTATATCTGTATCCGAGATGAGTAAGCGGATATGGATATGATAAGCATCATATCCGAGCCGTCCAGACCGAGTGCACCCCTACCACTAATTATATGGCTAAAAGGCATTAAATAGCTCATAGTTTCCTCTACTCTGCCCTTATAGACCCTTTCTTGTTTTTGCTTCACTTTGTATACCCTGGAGATTCTAAAAGCTACATTTTGATAACCTATTTTGTGCAAACATGACAATTTTTCTGACAATCACAAGCTAATTTTAGAACTTTTTAGTCCTAATGTGTATCGAATTTACCGTTGAACATACCACAATTCTAAAATTTAAGCATGCCCTATTTATATTTTAAAATATAAACATGCTGGATTTAACAGTAAATTTAACAAATATTAGGGCCTTAAAATTCTAAAATTAGCTTGTGAGTGTCACATACAAAAAAGGGGAAATTCTCAAGTTTGCGTAACATATAGTATTAAAGTGCAATTTTTAGAAACTTTAGAATGTATAACTGCTGGTAAGAGACCAAGAGAGAGAGAGTACATATATAAGTGCAAAGTAAAGGTAACTACAAGGTATTTAAGTGCTTTTTAGCCTTAGATATACTTGCCTAATGTTATATTATTTCTGTTAAACTAGCACAACAGTTGTACTGCTCTTGTAGTATGGGATAAATACAAGACCCTTTCTCGTGAAGATAAATTGAGAAATCACTAGTTCCCAATAATTCCAATGATCGTGCATCTTGTGATAGAAGAGTAGCACAACTGTTATAAATCTATGGGTATAAAGTTCAGTTAGAATTAATATTCGTCCCAAAATAAATAGTCTTAAATAGGTTACTCAGCCTACACTGCTCTTATACTATAAAACAAAATAAATAAGAATCCATTAGAAGTTATGAGCCTCTAAGGACCTCAGTTTTGTACTTTATAGTAGAATAATAGTAAAGATTTTGTGGTTTAATTAGCATTAATGTTTCTAAATAAATCAGAAATGCATATATCGTCGTCGCCTTATTTTATGATCATCGTCGATTCTCATATGACAATGTTACTTAATTTATATTCAAAGTGGACGATCAACTTGGAATGACATGACATTTTGATTTAGAAACCTATATATTAGTCTATTTGATATTTATAATCCTTTTTCCTCAAAATTGTAGTTATTTTTTAGTTTTACCCTCAAGTGATTAGAAATTGCTACTTTACCTCCCAATTTCTTTGCTTTCTGCAATTTGATCCTAGCTAACTGATCTTAACAGTCAATAGATGAAAACACATTTTTCTCTCTTAAGATATTGACTTCATTCAAGTATTTCAAATCTACTAGATAACAATCATTTCAGTCTGAGACACAATGAAAGATCTTATATCAAATTCAATTATCTAGAGTTTACAGTAAAAGAGAGGAAAAAAAAGAGCACACAATAACAAATCTTTAAACCCCCAAAGCCATATCCTTACTGAAAGAGGCAAATTAAGCACAGAAATTCTGATGACTTTAGTCACAGAACTTGTAAAAGTAAAAAATCTCTCTTGTATATTTCAATATAACAACTATAGCAGGATCCTCTGATGCTCATATTTAGATCTGAGCAAGGCGACGAATATCAATAGGATACGCATCCGACGAAGACTGGGCGCTGTAAGATCGCCTGCCGATGATAACATTAGCAGCTTCAGTAGGATGAAATGCATCCCAGAATATATACTGGTCCCTGTTACTGCATGGCGTTTGATAAGGCAAGCATGTAATTTGCCCATTGTTTCTTCCTACTCCGCAGCATCCTTTATTAGTAACCCTCAACCCTGTCAAATTCCCCAAAAACCCTGTCAAATTCCCCAAAAATAAAAAATGTAAACAAAATTGTACATCTTCTATGTTACCCTTTTGAATTTTGTTGATTGATGAGTATATATAGGGATAGTTTAGACCTTTTTAGACGTTAATATCTTTAGCAACCATTTTCAAATAGCTCATGACATATTTATGCAGTATTAAAAGCTGATGATATTTTTCTTTAAATAAACAAAGCTCCTAATGGTTTTTCTGCAAAACCCTCCACAGTTAGTCGCAGTTTTGTGAAATGGTCTGTAAATGAAGCCCGATACAAAATGTTTACCTTTAGCTGCGGGGTTCCTTAGGATATCCTGAAAGATCCCATAAGCATTGATGTAGGTGAAGTGAGCTCCGTCAAGTTGATTAAACTGATCGACCAGCTGTTTAAGTTTTTGGTTGAACATGTCGCATGCGTTGTTGATCCTATCGACACAAGTTACACCGTTGTTGCTGAACTGAGCTAGCTCGTTTGGGCTGCAGCCAACCTGACCAACTCCTATTATTGCCACCTTCCTTGCTCCATAGTTGTAAAGAGCCTGCGCAAGCGATAATATCGTTAGTGCGCTAAGCATAGAACTGTAACCTTGATTTATCGTCGTAATATCAAAATCCGATATAATGAAATGGGAGAGTACATTGATTCTACCAGACTACCCTAAGTTCAAATCCCACTAAATTAAATGGTTTTAGGAACTGTGTAAAATAGTTCATGTTTCAGCCTATATATGAAATTAAAGGGTTCCCTACCTCTAGGTAAGGTTACAAATGAGTAAATTGCAGGAAGCCCCTTTCACCTAATAACTTTGCTTTTCAAAAAACTGCGTATCTAAAAAGTTCAACGAAACCCCTGATCCATGACCATTAACGAAAAATGTAGTTGTACAAAATAATTACTAACCCTCAGCTGTTGGGAGTATTGCTGGGCGAGGACATCAGCGTACTGTTCAGGCGTATATTGCTGACTAGTAGAGTAATAGTTGGGCATAAAATAATTGTTGAGGTAATCATTGCTGCCCATGCCCACGGTAAATATACATTTACTGAGATAATCTGCAGCGGAGTCTTCATCCCCCAGGGAGCTCACTATCTGCTGAGCTGCTTGCTGATAATTGCGCACTTGCCCCGCGAAACTAATCCTACCCCCCTACAAGAACGCAAAAATATTTAGCAAAATAGACCGAAATTATTTTATCCAAAAGTTAATTAAGCTGTTATAAGTTCATATGAGCTGACAGCACCACACGCTTTAATGACAAAATCAATCAATGTTTGCTTACTAGTTGCTGTCCTGTTTCCTCCCTTATCCCGGCGGCCGCAGATGCAAAGTTTACTCCGGTGAGAAGCTGATTGCCGCGCGCGCTTGCGTAGGGTGGGATGTAGTTTTCGAACCCCAAGAGCTTAGCTGGACGCGCAGAAATTAATGTTCAAAACTGGTCAATATTCTGGAAAAGATTAGAATACGTAGGCTATTGATTGAAATAAGCGTACAGATCATAAACAATATACGTCGAATCATGTCTATCAGACAGCTGGTGTAATGATTTGTTCATTTTTAATCATTGCAAAATGTGCAATGAAGCGATTTAATTTTTGAGATGAACTTACTTATCCAAGGATTGCAATCCTTGATATACCACTTGTTTGGTGGAAGGAGTACGATGTGTATTTTTACTCGATCTATAGGTATTTTGCATGTTAGCATGAACCTAATGAATCTCAACATGGTGTTTTAGGGTGGGGCATTAAAGAAGCGAAGGCATGAATGGCTCCCATAAAAGGAAGTATTATAACTAGCATAGTGATGGAAATTCAATATTTTGCATTAAGTAGATGCCCTCTAGTGAAAATGTGTATGGTGAAAATAGAAATGGATGGGGGACTATTCAAAGATCTCAACACTAGTAGTATGAAAGCTACAGGTAGAGTGAAGGGTATGACCATATTGCATGGACATGATGGATGTCATTAATGGATGTTGTTGTTTCATTGAATGGGGTGTTACATCTAATTTTAATGTAGCTATACAGCGGGGGCATGCATGAGATCTTTCACGGTAAGAATGGAACCCTTTTACATTTTCACAAGTGTAGTGTTTTGAGCATAAGAATTCGGACGCTAGAATAATAAGGGAAAAAAAAGCGCATCTCAGGGCACGAAACTCTCGTTATGTGCAGGGCCTGTGAAGAAGTCACAAGGCCACTTTCGATATACTGTATGCAGTCTTATCTTGCATTTCTCGAAGAGACCACTTACATGACTCTGCAAACCCGTGACCTCCAGGTCATAAGGCGAAAATAATTATGCTCAGATAGAATTCATAATAATTTGATATTACGAACTTTAATCTTTCAATTGTATAAAAAAATTGAAGAAATTAAGAAACTAAGCGAGGGACTAAGCCTAGCTTACATATAACATCAACGGTAGTCAAT